GGATGGAAAATCTTCCAGGGAAGCCCGGGGAGGGAGGGTCACCCCCACCGCCTCTCGCACCCCCAGTGGTGCCGGGAAATGGGTCCACCTCCCGCCTGGCTCCCAGCTCTGAGCGAGGCCACGTGCTGCCATCCCAGGCCGACCCAAAGGGCCTTTGCTGACGAGCTGCTGTCTGCCGGGCTGGGAACCAGCTCCTGGAATTGCTACATTAAAATGGGTCCACCTCCCGCCTGGCTCCCAGCTCTGAGCGAGGCCACGTGCTGCCATCCCAGGCCGACCCAAAGGGCCTTTGCTGACGAGCTGCTGTCTGCCGGGCTGGGAACCAGCTCCTGGAATTGCTACATTAAATTCTTGGGAAGTGTTTCATATAAATAAAACCACCACAAAGGGCGAGAAGGCAGACCAGCCCCCTTCTCTGGGGCCCGAGCAAAGCAACAACAAAAAAATTACCAAAACAGACCGTGAGCAATAAAGCAAAATTTATAGGTAGGCCAGCTCTAAGCCATGCTAAGATAAATATTGGTTTTACTCGGTGAATCCCACTTCAGCTTCAAGAGGGGGGTTTCTTCACCCTGCTTGCTATTTGATGACGTAGTCCTGAATTTCTGAGTTTCCCTAGAAATAAATAAAAGAGAGCTGGGTTTTGAGCCGTGCCGTGCCCACGCGCTGGGATGCGGCTAAGGCGGGTAGCTTCCGAACGGGAGCTCTGAGAGCAGTGCGGCTCAGCGGATATGGGGCACGGTCCGTCTGTCCGCCTGAGTGGGCGCGAGAACAGGTGTGTGTAGTGCTTTCTAGCGGTACAGCTCTGCAGAAGCCGCGTTTCCTCACCCTCGCGTTACACGGGGAAATTGATGGCTCTGAGAGGGGATGTGACCATGGTCACGTGGCAGGGCAGTGGCAGAGCCTGAAATAACGCCACGGCGCACCGCCGCTCCCGTTCACTGGGCTGCCTGCTCACCACGGCAGAGTCCTCAGCTCCGTGCAGGAGGGGCGCTGGCCCGGTCCTTGCTCATCGAGCCAACTCCCCGGGGTGTTCTCCTCGCGGCTGCCCCGCAGATTTCTGTGGTCCTGCCTCAGCCAGAGAGCTGAGCCCAGACTCAGCCGGGGGGCGGAGGGGCTCCCCAGCACGGGCACGGGCTGCACAGCCAGCCTGAGGGCTGCATTTCACCCACCTGCGCGGGGGCAGGAAGGGCCCCGTATCGCTCTGCCCGGAGAAGGGAGTAGGGCGCATTACAACTGCCGAGTTTCTCAGCTGCCTGCGAGAGGGAGGGCTCTGCCCCCTACCCCCACATTCCCAGGCCTGGGGGGGAGGAGGAGGAGGACCTGGTCCCAGGAAAGCCAAAGGCCCAGCAGCCCCCAAGTTGTCGCAGCCCGACAGCAGCTGTGGTCCCACGCGGTCCGGCCCCCCGCGCCAGGCCGAGGCGGGGGGGGGTCGTGAGGGGAGACCAGCCAGGAGCTCAGCTGCATCCTCAAGCCTGGGCCAGGCTGCTCTGGGGTCTCCCCATGGCCGTATGTGGGGCCAGGCCACCCCCCGGCCCTGCCTGAGCGACCAGAAGGGCCTGGGAGGCCTAGAGGCAGGGGAGTGGGCTGGGAGGGGAGACGTGAGGTTCCCACCCCTGGTTTGATGGGCCGTGCAGGCAAGAATCGGTCTGAGGCCCCGGGGGAGGGGGAGGAGGAGGAAGGGATTCGGGGTCTGCTCCAGTCCCGGCAGAGCCCCACGTCCCGAGCGAGCCGGGCCAGGTGCAGAACCTCTGGGCTCGTCTCTTCTTTGATTTGACAGCGCGGATGACAAAGAAAACGGCCCAACGCTCCCGGGCCTGGAGCGCGGAGGGTTCCCGCACCCCCCGAACGGGGGAGGGGGCGAGGTCTCCCTTCGGAGCCCGTGCGGATCTTCGCGGAGGCACCGAACAGCCCAGCCCTGCCCATGGTTTGTTGGAATTCCCCCCACTCGCTGCCACTTCCCATCACCCTCAGCACGTGGCGTCCGGAGCCTGCCTGCCAGGGCGGAGCGCACCTGCGGATTTGCCGCCAGGCTCTCTGTGCGGTTAGCGCTCCGGGTGCAGCCTGGGGACTCGTCGCGGTCGACTCCCACGGCATCCCTATGGGCAGGGATCCCCCAAGGAAAACCCGAGAGGCGCTGGGGAGACAGAGAACCCCACGCCCAGAAACCTGCTCACGCTGGCCTTGCGGCCGGCCGGAGGCCCCCTGCTCGGCGGAGATGGGGGAGATCAGCTCTCGCACACCTGAGCCCCACCATCTCCCCGCAATTCCTCCGTCCTACGCCTCAGCTCCGCTTGGGCAGCTCTGGCCCCCTGCCTGCTAAGGGACCTTGCTCCGGCAGGCAGCTTGGAGCGATTCCCCAGCCAGGGACGGAGCAAACGCCTCCCTCCGTATGTGCTAGGGGGGCGCCGGACCCAGGCTCCCCAACCTGCCTCGCAAGAGCCCTGTTTTCAAAACGCTTTCCAACCTACGGTTTGGAGCGAGGTGTCCAGGATGCTGCACCCTGGCCCTGCTCACGCTTTCTGCCCGAGCTGTGCACGCCACGGGGCTCTCGAAACAGCCCATCAGCAGTTACAGGAAGTGCATTTAACACGAGTTTCTTGGCTCGGCCCGGCTCCCTCCTCGGTTCCTGCTGCACATGCCCTGCCCCTCGCCTCTCCATGCAGGCAAATGAAGGGGCTATTTGTTCAGCTCTGGAGTCCCTGGGAACAGAGCTCAGCGACGCCCCCGTACGTTTTTCTTCCCCTAATATAAGTTTCCCCCTTCCCTTCAGGACCTCGCTCTCCCTCCTGGCCAGACACACACAGTCACTCACAGGATCTCCCTCTGACATCACCAGCAGCTGGAGAATTTATGTCTCTTTCACCATGATGAATAACAAATTTATACCAAACCAAAAAAAAAAAAAAATCCCTCCGTACATCAAAGAGATTCACATCCCTGAAGCAGGAATCCAATCCCACACCGGCCCGGCTGCTCTGGCCCCCCGTGTCACGCAGGCGTTTCCACATTTGGGGGCAATCGTGCCAAGATTTATCAGAGACACTTAGCGCCCTCAGGTGAGATCATAAACGGGCCATCCAGCTCCTCCAGTCCCGGCCCCTCCGTCTCTCACACACAAACGCGAGTCTCTGCCCAGATCCAAATAATAACTAATGAACAGATGAAACCACTCAAGTGTAATTCCACAAGATTTTGGTTTCTCAGTATTCTGCTTTTTTTCTCCCTGACACATGTGCCTTTACCTCCCGCCTCCCCTGCTCGGTAATCTTCCGCAGGAGTGTCACTAATAAGGAGTAGACAAGTTAATCTCAAAATCTGTTTTAACTTTGACACCTACTTTTTAAAATGCAACGCGTGTTGCAGGGAGGCTGGGCTGGCGAGCCGCAGTAAAAGACAGGCCATACGGCGGGGAGGAAGAAAGGGCTCCTTTTAGCATGACGGATGGCTGAAAGATGCCTGTAACTCCGGAGACTCAAACTTGCTCAAGCTACGCCCGTAAAAGATGGGAGGTTAGCGGCGTCCGTGGCTCCCGGCCCGAGTGACTGGGGCTGGACATATAACGCCCCCCCATCCGCACACACACGTTCAACCAGTCAGTTTGAATCTAAAGGTAATTAAAAGCCAGTTGGGAGGTGGTTTGCCTGAAGATCCATTCTTCATTCCCGCTCCCACTCGGCATGATTTTGGTTGCTTTTCTCATGCGCGGTGGTGGATTTCTGCTAGAGACACACACAGCTGCACATCAGCCTGTGCATGTGTGTGTACCAGGGCTCCTGTATCCCCATTCACCAGTGACGTGGATTCGGCTGCTTTCAAGGTCTTAGGAAACGAGAGAAACAATAGCAAGTCCGTTTAAAAATGAAAACCCGGCCCCCCCACCTGCTTCTGAGCCATCCCCGTCTCGGGAATTCAATCCACCAAGACAGATGCCGGGAGAACAAACTGCAGCAGGAGAGGAGGGCAAATCGGGCGCACAGGACTCGCGTCTGATCCACGATGAGGCCTGCGTGAAAACCAAAAATTCCCAGGATCCCAGTGGCACTCCCGGGAGGCCTCCCCGTCCCTTGGCTACTCAGCCAGGCTTAGCCCCAGCAAAACTGCTACCCCGCCTCATGTAAAATCCCTTCCAGGCGGCTGTTTGCAGGGTACGGCATTACTATATATTGCAACAAACCGAGAACTTGGCTACAGTGACACTACATGAGCGAACCTACATAGTAGCCTATAAAAATGTCACAAGGACAAAAATGCAGCTGGGTGTAAAGTATCAAGTTCACTGAACCTCTTTGTCAAAGTTTTCCACTTCTTCTTGCCCGTCTTTCATTCATTTACAGGCATTTCCACCCGGGAGTCTGGGCATGTGCGGTTCAAGGCCAGGGCCAATCTCCACCCGCAGCCAGACCAGAGTGACTCTGGAGTCACCCTGCGCATTTACACCGGAGTAACGTTGACGAGGCCGGTTTGCTGCTCAAAGGCAGGATTCGTTTCTGTCTCTTTCCCGGACCACGAGGGGAGCTGGCAGGCTTTTCATATTGATTCAGCGATAATCTTTCAGTTCCTTCTTAGAATTTTAATTGTGGAACAAAGTGACTTTTATAGAAAATCTGTTCTATATTACAGGGCATGTTCCAGGAGGGATTTTCAGGATCTGAATGGGAGTTATGCCGGAAAATTAAAATATGCCCCTATAGGTTCCAAAGGACAAAATGAATTCTGGTCTGCCTCCTTCTCTCTGCAATTGCACCAGAAATGAGAAATGTCAAACAGCCAAACTCTGACATACCAAGAAGTCACCGGGCACATCCCAGGAGCTGATGCTGCGCCTAGAACAAATTAATAATACAGGTTGGACCTCCCTCATCCGGCACCCTCAGGACCTCCCAAACAAGGGGAGGTCCCTCCCAGTATGGCCGGTGCTGCCCCCGGCTAGGACTCCAGCTGAGCCTCACTACTGCCTGCCTGGCCATAGCTCCCGAGACTAGAGCTCCGTGGCTGCCAGGGTTCTGTGGCTGCCGTGGCTCCTGCCGGGACCCAGACTCCGCGGCTGCTGGTACTCTGTGGCCACTGCTGGCCCCCCCCTCCCCCTCGCTACCACCCAGCAGCAGGGGCCAGAACTCCCTGCGGCGACCCCTCCCCCAACACAAGGCTCCCGGCTCCCCTCCCCCGCTCCCCGACCTCCTTACACCTGGACTCTGTGGTCCAGGAGCATCCGTGGTCCTGGTTTACTGTGGATGTTGCCAGACCGCAGAGTCCCGGTTAAGAGAGGTCCAACCTATACTTTGCCCCTGTTAGTAACTTGCATCAGAGGATCGCACGGCCCTTTGCAGAGCTGGGCAAGCGGCCTCCTTATTGAACAGACGAAGAAAGGAATCGGAGGCCCAGAGTAAGGCCCAGGCAGCAAGGAAGTGACAGAAGTTGGAAATGGAGCGAGCGCAAGGGCGCGATTCCCAGACCTCTATGCCAACGCTGGAGACAACTCTCTGACATGCTCATTTGCATGATGTGCGCGCCACCCTCCGCTGCAAAGCGACGGCTGCCGTAACCGCCCGGCTCTGAACGATGGGTTTAACAAAATAAAACCCAAACCTCTTCAGCTTGTACTCGGCACATCCGCCAGGTTACCCACAGCCTTGGAGCCATCTGCAAGGCATTCTGGGACATGTAGTCCCCATGCTTGCAGGGGCAGCGGGGGAGGGAGACATGTTACAGACAGACAACCTGCAGGCCTCATTTCAGGGCCATTTGCGGCCTGGGAGCTGCACTTTGGACAGCCCTGGCAGCGGCAGGCCGTGCCGAAGCAAAGGGAAAGGCCGATGTGGAGGTCAGCACCCCAGTTCTTGCACATCTGGGCAGCTGCAGGGGAGTGAGGCTGGTTTGCACCAGCTGGGGGATCCGGCCCTACGCTGTAATTAAAGCCCCGCTCTCGTCTTTCCACCTTTTCGATTTACTGCAGCCAGCCTCCTATTTGGTTTGGTTATTTATCGCCGAGGTGCCGAAGCAAAGGGAAAGGCCGATGTGGAGGTCAGCACCCCAGTTCTTGCACATCTGGGCAGCTGCAGGGGAGTGAGGCTGGTTTGCACCAGCTGGGGGATCCGGCCCTACGCTGTAATTAAAGCCCCGCTCTCGTCTTTCCACCTTTTCGATTTACTGCAGCCAGCCTCCTATTTGGTTTGGTTATTTATCGCCGAGAGTAATTATTAATCATCACTCGTTAGTGTGCGCCACGTCTCCAAAGCGCTCAGCGCCATGCCAGGGAACGGCAGCGAGGAAAGACTGGAGCTGGGTTAGCAGCCCCAGAAGTAACCGCAGGCTACGCCAAAAGAGCAGCAACGTCACCTCCTTGCAAGCAACGGGGCTGCTCGCCTCAGCCACAACGCGCCCGAGCGGGTGCACCCAGCTTTCCCCGGGTCACATCCGGTGCCTCCATTCTCCTGAATATGTTTCTGTGTGGAAGGCTCTCAGCTGGCAGCAGCTACAGGAGCGAGTCCTACAGCGGGAAGGCGGGGGGCGGAGGGGGGGTCTGATTCTGCTCTCAGACATTCCCAATGCCAAGGGACTTGCACAGGCCCTTTTGTGGGTATCAAGCAGAGGAGCGGGGGGTATTCAGAGAAGCTGCGCCTGACCATTATTTATGCTCACCGCCTGCACTAATGACATAGGTAAGTTGACAGCCTACATCCCGTTGGCCGGCTGGAGTGCATCTTGATTGTTCAAACACACTCTTAAAGGTGTCCAATCATTTATCACATGGAAACGACCGTCCACAACGCACCCTCATTTCCTAGCACCACTCCTGGCAAAAAGGCACCGTTTGCCGGGCAAGGCTCCTCGCCCTGCCTGTGCCCAGAACCACGGCATTCCATGATTCGGCCTTCTTTCCTTCTCCGCCGTGTCACAAACTCCAATACAAATCTACTAATCCAGCAGGAAACGATGGACTCCAGAAACTCCACCAATTAAATTTAGACTCATGAAAAGCTCGATGGCTAGTAAATTATAATTTTTATTAGCTTGAACAATGTTCCCGTAAGAGAAAGTGGAGACTCTCCCATGAATGGCTCTTGTATAATTTATTTAACTTTCGGGGCCTTGCCAAAGCCCGGAATATTTTTAGATCTTTCTGTTGTCGGGTTTGGCTTTTTTTTTTTTTTTTTTTTTTGTAAGTGAGTTTCTGGAGGGGTATTTTTAGACTCACGCATGTTATTTTAACAGACTCCTTTGCATTTGGACTTCCATATGTCACACAGCCTCTCCTACAAGGCTGGGCAGGTTTCTAAGAATGACTGGGAGTCAATTTCTTTCACTACGGATGTGCTATTTGCACCCAGGCGCTGCTGCCTGACGCTAAATTAGCATCACACAGGGTGGATAGTCCTATAGAAAAATTCCACTTCTTATAGGAATAATTAGACATGATGGTGTAGCAATTCCCAGTGGAAAAATGCACATTCCAAAATTGAGCTTTAATTTCCCAGTGTGTGTGTTAACCGCAGCTGCCTTGCATAACAATGTATATCTTACGGTTCTTGTGCAAAAGATCAGCTCTGGCAGTTCCTAGCTGTTATCTGTGCATTGCCTTTGATGTCTCATGCTACTTGTCATTTATAAGTAAAGATGGTTAGAGTCTTTAGAACACATCTTTGAACAGTAACTCTTTTAGCACCTATTTAATGCTGGTAACTGTGTTGCAAAAACACTGGCTGGTGTCATGCAGTTAATGAGATATTTACTAAAATGTATTTTCTTTAAAAAAAAAAAAAAGAACACTAAAGGCAGTGGGGGAAAACCCCTTACAGGGTTTGTCTCACCAGGAAATTACTGGATTTAATGATAACTAAATCGATACGAAGATCTATTATTCCTCGCAAGTTTCAGGGCTTGGACGGTGGTGGGGTAAAAGCTGGAAATACTCCACCAGAAATTCTCAGCTTGCGGTCCTTTATGATCCCTGCTAGAGACGGCTGCCATTCCTGATTACTATTAATCTTTATTAATTAGAATGATGATTATATTTGTGTTTCTAGCTGCAGCAGTTCGCAGATTATTTCTTATTGTCATTTTCACTCAAGCCAAAACCTTGAAACATGCAGCTACCTTGGAAGGGTGGCAGGGGAGAAAGCAGCAGTGTTTATATTTGGAGGTTTCCCCAAAAGATAAAAATGTCTCTCTTCCTAAATAAGAGTCTACAGCAGTGTGAAAATTTCAACGGCTTGAGGCAGCAGGACTGCTAAATAATCCTGCTCCCCTCCCCCCGCTCCCCCCAACTTTCACAGCTTTGACTTTGGACCATCTGCATTAGAGACAAAAAAAAAATCTTACCACGGCACTAAAAATAACGCTACAAAACATTTTAATTGCACCTTTTGTGACAAGGTTACTACAACAGCACTTTACCATAAAATTTCTACAGCAGGATTATAAAACTATCAGCACTCCGTTTTAAGAAAAACAATTTGTGAAACATTAAAAGCTAACTTCAAAATCAAGGTCTTTGCAGCTGACTTAAAAAAAAAAAAAAAAAAAAAAAAAAAAGTACAGTTAAGAGGGGAGAGAGGGAAGCTTGCCATGGGGAGTGAATTCCACAGCAACGGGAGTGTTATAATAAATGCTCGATCAACTATGTATGCCTTCTGGAATTTTGCCTGACTAGAGGAATGACTGGACATAAAAACAAAACTCATTCTGAGCAGCGCTTTTCTTATTAGAACCAATATCTTCTTCCCCCCTCTCCCTCCTCACTGGAACTGTCTCATTCAGGGGCCTTCCCGGCTGCACATTTCAATTTTTATCCAAATCTCAACCTAAAAATTGAAGGCGTCAAAAACAATTCCGTCAGGGCAGGTTTTGCTTGGTGCCTTTCTTAAGCCATCCCGTTTGTGTATGTTTGGAATGCTGAGCGCCGGGGGTTAAGCGACATTAATAACCTTTTTCAGATTAAAAGAAACTGGCAACGCTCTCTCCAGTCTAGCTGGTCTATTCCTACTCAGTGGCCTCTGGTCCTTGTGAGGTTGTTCCCTGTATTATAATTAAATACTCTATGTCGAGACACCATCAATAATTTATTCTACCGGAATCACCAATTTGCTTACCTGCAAATTTTCTCATCTCCCTTGAATTCCCCACTGAGACTTAAATACAACGCGGAGGACTTCAGAAAGAGGGTTTCTCTGAGCGACATGAAACACTATGTGCTTGATCCATGGAAGACTACACGGGGCTTTGGATCAAACCTTCTCTGCAGCAGGATGGGGCCCTGTCTGAACTAGGGGCTTTAACCAAGGAGTACAGAAGAAACAAGATTTAAACACAAATCTGACTATTTGCCCTGTTTGTCCGGCTTTATATTTTAAAATAAACCTTGGAGTCATTTGGGAGCAACTGTTTCTAAAAGGTTGAGCTGCAATGAGCATACTACAATTTTTTAAAAGAGGAAAGGGAAGGGAAGAAACAGTAAGAGGAAATACACATTTCACCAGGGGAAAATTCTGCAAATATATGATGTAATTATTTAAAATATACCACGTTTAAGAATAAGTATGTCTAGATCATTGCGTTTGTTAAGGGCACTTTTTTTCACCTCATCATGCTAAAAGCCCATTAGTAATTATGCAATTTTTGTGTGTCATTTTTTTCATTTTAGGAAATTTACTGTCTTCTTTTGACTGCGCTCCCAGATGACAATTCTCCATTCTAGTCCATCTCATGCCGTCCTTTTTAATCCACGCACTAATTGTAATCCCATTAAAGCAGATATAATTTTATTAGTATTCACAGTTCATCAAGCTAGCAATAATAACTCTTACTGCCGAGTTTCAAAAAAAGGCAAAAAATGTACTCTGATGTTGAAAGCAAACTGTAAACAAACCCAGCTAGCACTGTGCAAGACTAACATTACGTCCATAAATACAGCCCCTCCGTACACACAATGCGCACACAACTTCCCATCAAAAAAGCGCTATTGGGTTTCAAATCGAGCAGTCTGTGCACTGAAACTTTGGAGCACCAAAATATATTCACTGCTGGATTAATATGGAGGCCGCCCAGGGAAGCGGGTCAGAATTCCACCATTCCCACTTGCAAAAGAGGATTGCAAAAGTAAATAGGGAGGGGAGAGATTTCGAATGCCAATCTTTCATTTGGCACACAGCAGATCAGCCCGGAGGAAACCTATGGAGCCCACAAGACTCCCAAGCAAAGGCAAAAAACACCAGAGCCAGATTTTGAAGCCTCGGTGGCATTTTCCGGTACCCCCGCTGAGCCAGGCCTGAGAATAACACTACAGTCCTAGCGATGGCTCCCTCCTGCGCTGGACACCAGGCCATGAAGATAGGTGTTACCTCCACAGAAATCCTAAACCGTCCATGCATATAATTGATCAGTTGATCGTTTTTATTGTGTTTGGTTTAATACTGCACAAGCAGCGAGTCGGTGCCTGGTAGATTTCCCCTCCCCACCCTCTCTGGCTGCAGGCTGCTCCCAAAGCATTAGCTGATTAAAAGGGCGCTGCGGAGGCTCCTAGCCCCACTGCGTCTCCGGTTTGCTGGCCACGCTGTGCGCCTCGAGCAGGATCCCAAGGGCACTGGTTACAGTGCGGACGGGCACCGCAACCCCCCTGGCATGCTACCAGCAGGATCGCCCAGCCCTGTGCGCCCTACCCCGGGGTCACACGCTGCAGGGAGCAGCCCCCCTAGGGTTCTACAAAAATGTGCAACCCCCCCAGTTTCTCAGAGGCTGTTCAGGCAGCAGAGGT